ACAAAAAGCAATAACGGCTGACCAATATCTCCATGCCTTAATGGCTTTAGACTAGGCCGTGAGCAAGTCTGTTTGTTTCTTTATCTTGCGAGTAGGATAATAAGTTTTATCGCCTCCGGTCTTTGCATTGCACATCATTGGTTTCTGTCAATCTCTTGCATGACACTATGCTAATTCTGTATAAAATAATAAAGATTAATTTGTACTGAAATTTAACAGCTTTTAATTTGCATAGGTCTTAAAATGCTAAGATTTTATTAATTTGCTAAAAAGGGGTCGCGCTTTTAACTATTGTTTTGGAAAGCACTCAAACCGCATTTACACAATGAGTCGCCTAATATCGGAGTGTGTTGATCAATCGGGGTCGGGTTATCACGCGATGGGAGCGGCACGCGCCCGGCACTCCCACGCACGCGCGGGGTTGATTCTGCCCGTGTCTAATACATAGAGCTTAATTGGAACCCTGATTTTGTACAATGGAAACCATTACAATGAAAAATCATATTATTATTGTGATATTTAGAGCTTGTATTCTATACAGAAAAAGCTTTTTTCACTGTTTTCTTATTTTCCTTTTCATTTCGTGATTAAAAATACGACCAGGACCCGTAGCAAGCGTTTAAAAGTTTTCATTTACAGGATAAGAAGAGTTTGATATTTAAAAGTTCTTAAAGGATGATTTTTAATTTTACAAATGACAAAGGAGAGATGTGAATTTTTATGAAGATTCTTCGATCTATTTAGTATTCAATTGTAGTATATAGTATTAAATCTGTATATAGTATTCAAAAAACTTGTCATTTATAAATTAGCAAAACCAAAAATATTATGAAGAAATTCCTAATAGCCTTGCCGGACAAAAGTTTTTAAATAAATATTGCTATAAATTTAACTCCAAAACGAATAAAAAGACATAATATCATAATGTAGCGCTAAAACATTGAATTTTATACATGACGACGTAATTGAGAGAGATGAAAAAGCTGACATAAAAATATACTTCAGTATACTGAACCACATTAACAAAAGTATTAAAATGTACTCATATAATTTGACGGAAATATGCTTAAATTGTACGGACAAAACCAATTTCACACTTCAAAATTCGAAAGAGCTTATCATAAAAATTCACTTTACAGCGGTATTTTGACATAAAATATAACTTTTTTTGTTTGTTTTCGAAACCCTTATAATTTACTTCGAGCCATAAAAGCACCTTACAGACTGTCGCCATTTCAAATTCTCACTACGTGTTTACGTGGGTACCGGCTTTTTTCTTTAACATTTTTTTTCAACCTGTCCACGGATTGACAAAGGACGTTACCTGTACCTACACTTAAGACAATCCTGTCAATTGCACAGTAAGGTGCCTTTAACAGATCAAAGAATTGTGTAAAAGAATAGGTGTTTTAAGTATTGAGTACCGGAGTATAAAATAAGCTCTAAAATTTAAGAACAAAGTGACACTTTAATTTTTTAAGTGGCATTCCAGCACGTTTTAACAGCTCAGTAGACATTATTTAATGTCTTCACTATAGTCTGGTATATTCCCGTGAGAGATGTAGATGTAGTAAAAGCATTATTACTTTGAATTATTTATCTTAAAAATTTTACACCAATTTTCTATACGAGGATATGTACAATACAATCGATTTACAAGTTATTTTAAAACTTATTTAAAATTATCATTAACAATGTCTTTCTCATTAATAGATTTATATAGGAACTACTCATCATAGACCACTAATCAGATCAGACCAGCTGTAAATAGCGGTTGAAGCAGGAGCTAATGAATATTTAAGAAATCACGAACGAGCTTGATACAATAAATTTTCAATCACCAATCTTGCTTGCGACCGAATCCTGTGTATGTTGCTTAGCTGATAATAGCGAACTGAAGCTCTTATGAAATATTATCCGTAATGATAATTAAATCAGTATCTATTATTAATGTGTAAGTGTAAGTATTATGTGTAAGATAATTCATAAGTTTGTGCACTTTCATTTCATAATATATATAAATAAGTACATATTAATACGTAAAGCAAAAAATTGCTTCCCTTATCATGAAATTTGCTCATTACCAGGAATATAAAATTTAGTATTTAAAGTTTATATTACATGGAGAAGAAATGCAGAATTCATTTTTATAATAATGCTTATAATCACATTAAATTATTTAAAACACATTTATGTACTGTACACACAAGTTCATTATACCTTTGGCTATATTATTAAATTATGGACCAATTTATCGGAACACTTGCATATTACACGACCCGGTTTAAATAACTCAATATGAAGCAAATCTACCTGAGTCCTTAACCTGGCCCAAGGTGACTCGTGACTTTTGCCTTCCTTTTTTATGGTTCTGGCGATATTATTACGATTCGGACCTGTATGAGGGCATTTTTGAACCCAATAGAGATTGTTATTCGTTTAGCGAATACGATTTCTTTTTGATATTTCAATTTTTATATTAAAATTCCGAACTACCTATTTACCGTGTCTTCAGACATTGGTAGAATAATAATTATATAAAACGTATTTTAGTTACAGATTTCATTACATATTTTTCCAAGGTCTAATAAAATCCATCGAAAACCATATTTATACCTAGAACCTGTTGTTAATTTCATCCACACACGTATTCTTTAAGTATAAAAACTAATTACTGAGAAATGCGTTCGCACAAAATACAGTTAATTCGATTGTAAATTGGAGATAAATCGAAAATTTATTAGGACATCAAACCTTAAAGCAATGTAATAAGCTCTTTATTTTCATACGTCTTGAAGGGTGCGGTTGGATCCATACGATTCAATTTACAAAGGAATAAATCTTTTTTTTCTCTCATGCGTATGCGCAGCCTCTGGACCTGTCGTGTGACCGCGACAAGTGGATGCCGTCACGTTCACCTATTGTTCGCTTCCAGCCTCCCTTGTATACCAATTGAACCTTTAAAAAAAGGCTCTTTAAAATTTCGGCTCAAATTTTATTATTAAACTAGCTTTTGCTGGCGATTTGGTATTTCGGTCAGTTGTTACATCTCTTAACAGGAAATCATAATACAACCGACATAGGAAAAGGGATTTCTTTTCTTATCTGAGATGATATTTAGGTAATTAAACGATAGTTCCACAACAAAGTGTTGAACGATAGCATCGATTACAAAATCGCAATTGTCATATGTTTTATCATTCACTAATATCCAGTAAATTTACTAATAACTATATATTTATATTAGCACCGCTAATTATGTCCTTATTTTCAACATAGTCTGTTTCCGATTAAGTAGGTATAGCTTTCATTTCGAAAATTATGCCTTAGAACTGATGTTATTATGCCCGGTTTCACCATCAATCTATAGAGTATCTCCTAACTAGGTATCTCCTAAACAAAGTACTCCGTTTAACAATGCCCCTAAGTTCATTTTCACCACGCTAGGTAGGTTAAACCTACGTATGTACTACTTTGTTTAGTGACTTTTCTCAGGTTTCAACGAAGACGATATCCTAATGATATCAAATGCTCGTCAAACACTGTTTTAATTATACACTCGTAAACCATTATCATTAAGTTCTCCGCAAAACCCTTGGATACAAAGTTTTGATCTTTTTAAACTCTTTTTTGTTTATCTGTGTAATTGTTTGTACAATCTGCGCACAATTACACAGATAAACGCAATTTAAATAATTTATTTTTGTTGGAACAGATTAATTTATTCACTTTTTATCTGAAAGGTACTTTTGACACTTTTAATTTAACTTTATTTAATTTCTTCATAATCAATTTCGTATTTGCTACATGAATCTTCTTTAACGTTCTGCTATGATAATATAATACAGTGAGTTTCTGTTTAAAATAGAAGACCTTTGCCAGACAGTGGTAAAACTAATAGGCAATGATAAAAAAAGTTTTTGCAATACCATTAATTTATTTACTTATAGCCTGAAGTTGGATTAGTTTAATTCAAAAAAGTATTTATACGTGCACTTATAGCATTAATAACTTTTTATTTTCTACTGAAGCATCTGTCAAAACATAATTACTAATATCTTATAGATAAGATAAAAAGGCAGGTGCGCTAAATTCTGAATAGAATTACAGATAATTATAACAACACAAAAGATATAAAACATAAATACTGGTTGATAAAATGTTTGCGACTTTAAATGTAGAGCTTGTCAGTGCGAATCAAGTGCTTAAGTACTGACTCTTACCGAAATATAATTCTTCTTCGCTAACTAAGTTAAATATCCACTATATTATTAAATACAAACCCCCAAAATAAATATTATACTAACATAATCATACTTCTGAAATATGTTTTTGTCAGTAATTGTCTTAGCTTTAAATTTTATGTTACTATAAAAATGGAATAAAATATAAAGTTCAAAGACAATTTTCATCAAAGAAAGTATTTTATTTTCATTATTTAGTATGAAAATAACTAATATAAATTCTTGCATGTGTTACGAACCTTAGTGGTTTACATGATGCAAGTAAACCAAATTATGTTAACCACAAAGTTTGTTGATAATTAAATAAAAAAATAAATAAAAAAAATTGGCCTATGTTTCATAGAAACACATTCAAAACACCTTAACAATGCAAAACGATATAAAACTACGTTGACCAAGTTCTGTGATCCCTTAATGTCATTTAATTGTTGGCTGTCATAGTAGTTTAATATTTTTCGGAAATATTTTGATATTCGATTCTTAAAAAAAATAAACATTTTGATATTACTCAGCACCGTTGTAAAACATGAACAATAATTGTAACAGAATCACAAACAAGCAGAGATGGGACAAAGTGCATGTCACGAGCGCAACGGCCTTACTCAGGGCCGCCCAGCGCAGCAGACTCGGCGCCCGCCGCCGCCATGGGAAAAATCAGGCTTCGGCGCCCCCGCCCCGCGCGCCCATTGGGCCGCCCGGCCCCGCCCCGCGCCCCACCCGCACCCATAAATACGACGTCGAACCACTCATCTCTTCATTCCTCGCTCGCGATCCGCATCAGTCGCACGTCCGCGCGTAGTTATTACCCAGTGCATATACGTGTTCAGTGAACTCACGATGAAAGCGATAACCGCAGTGTGCGCTACCGGCGCCTCCGTTCCAGCTATTGCCAGCGGCCGTGTGCAGAGACACAGGGACGGCGAGAATGCTGAGATTCAGATGTACCTGTCAAAACTTCAGGATTTGGTGCCTTTTATGCCGAAGAATAGGAAGATTTCAAAGTTGGAGGTGATCCAGCACGTGATCGACTATATCTGTGACCTACAGTCTGCATTGGAAAACCATCCAGCTGTGAGTCAATTTGACGCGGAGGGTGCTTTAGCGTCGCCACCCTGCGCCGCAGCACCTCAATCACGCCCGCAGAGGCGCCCACTCGGCCCGCGACCAACACCCAACACAATCCTTCACAATATACCCTCAAGCCAGGAACACAGAACCCAAACGGTAAGTTTTTCAGCTACAATAACTACTATTTTAATATAAATCCTTTATTTAAATTAACCCCGACGAGTCAATATCAAATATGTAAACAAATATTGCATTTCAAAAGACTATTATTTGCTAAACATACCTAGAACGTAGGATAAATTACATTTAACATTGCAATGTCATATAGGTATTTAATTATTATTGTACTCCGAATAACCTGTATGTTATCAAAGTCATTACCCAATAATTATTATCACAATTGTAATAATTACATATTCCAAGCGCTCCATTCATTAGATAAAAAGACACTATTGCATAAAAAGTTAATGAAATCTGTTGCGTCGATGTTTTTGCGGCGCGCACCTGCACGTTTCGCAAGCGCGGGAAGGTAAAAGCGGAGATGTCGAGTTTCACAACACGTGGCTGGTTAATAGCTCTGTAAACGATCGAATATAATTTTCCGCATTTGCACCTACAAAAAATGCATTATTTGCTAATATATCACTTTTTCGAAAAGGATATATCGCACAAAAACAATAAGTATCTAATAACAAGTTGATTCTCATAGTCGGATATTGAACTCGGGTGTCGAAACAATGCATTGGCCAATTTACAACCGCAGCTATTTCTTTGCCGCTCGTTTCGATTACGGTGTGCTTAACTGCGTTACGAAACTAGAATCGGTAAATGCTCAGCAATCTCAGCCGCGGTTCACGCATGCGTGACGGCTGTTTTGAATTTCAGCCTTGAGGCTTGGCCACCTGCGCCGGCGCCGCGTAAACGGTCGTGTACTGACACACAATCTGAATATTCAACACATATTTATAAAGTCTCGTTTAGCATTCCACTTGACACCTGCGTGATTGTTGTTTCGTCATTCCTATTTAGTTCTCCCCAAACAAAAGTTGTTAAGATAATTGTCCAAAACACTTGTTGAACATGATGACTTCATCGCCTAAATACTGCGTGAACAATCACAAAAATAGAAGGCATCTCATATTTGTATTTCCAAGGCAAAATCCGAACGCGTTGAGATTGAATCGCGATGTCTGTGCAGCAGGTGCATTACGAAGGATTTATTCGTTCGCCTGCGTTCCTGGCCTCAAGCGATGTGCGCTCGTTAATACTTGGTCGCGCCACGTAAATTTTCATCACTGCCAGTTGTTCCACCAGGGGAAATGTTCAAAACAAGCGTGATTTAGGAGACGCGAGCTGCCGTACTGAATTTACACTAGCGTCACCAAATTACTAGCCACATTAATTATAAAAGATTAACCAACTCGCACACCTGTTCAAGTAGAATATAAATTGAAAAGTCGAACTTCATCATAAAATTTAATGTTTATTAACAACAAAAAAATACAATTAGTCCTAACAAATATATGTCCAATAGCATGTAATCAAATTAACGTGTGTACGTAGCATAAAAAAACGATTAATCTATTTCCCCTGAGAAACCCATTGAATACCCTTTAATAGATAACACATTTAAAAACTAAACGAAACGTCTATGTAGGAAAATTATTCAAATATAATTTAAGTGATATAAGTGTATTTTCATTCCAATTACCTTCAAATCTTCTCGATTTCAAGTTAAGCAGCTCTATAAATTAATCGTCAATGTAGACAAACAACCCGTCGCGCTTTAATTGGCCGCGGGCGCCGGCGATGTCATGATACCAGCCGATATTTACTAATATAACGCCTACAACAATATAGGAACTATTGGAATGTTGACTAATCGGACCGCATTCCTAAATTTGAACGCGAAGCCTTCGTTCTCGCAAGGACATTAGATTTTGTTGACTTTCCAGTCGTTAAGGATAGGTTTGGTTGAACTGCGAAAAAGATTTAGTGGAAATTTTAATTCAGCCGTCGATGGTTCTGATATTGAAGTCTCGGTGCACGTCGTGAGGCGGAATTTCACGGCGGTATCTGTCGGGGCATCGGCTATGCCACAACACTGTCACGAGCATACGCCATAACGTTCGCGACCGTAATTGTAGCCCGCAGCTGCGTGGCCACAGCTCATGAGGCCGTGGGACTATCCGGTTCGCGAGACGACCGCACTCATTTCTTTGTCGTTAAATCGAAGTAAAGCACGTTTTTACTACGTACTTCATTCTTTGGACCTTTCACCTTCAATAATCAAAATCAATTGATCAATGTACCACATAATTATTGTTGTCTCATTGGCTTTTCTCTCCAACCGTAATAAGCTGTTAAGTATCATAATAATGCCTGTTAAACATGTATTCCGTCGCGGTTGCACCCCTATTTAGTTGCTCTACACGAACGATGTGTCAACCCCTTCATCATTCACTCATATATAAGTAGAATTAATGTTCTATATTGTAGCTTATCGTATTTGTTCTATTCTTAGTTTGTTACATGTCAATATCACTTAGTCACAATTACTAGCCCGCATGATAACATTCAGAATCAATTAAGAGCTTAAATTCTTGTAGTAAAACATCAATAAAGTCACAAAGACGCGTTCAGCAGAAATATTTGATATTTGAGCAGAGGCTTGATAAAGGTAAAATCATCCTTCCAAATCAGAGCGTCTGAGGAGTGTGCCCACGCAAGCGCCTCGGACAGGCGGCACTAACGAGAGGCCAGGTGTCCACGCCCACGCTAGTTCGTTCCTCTGAATATCTTTGTCTCCGTGCCCATAAATTGCGTACGTGAAAGTTTTACGAGCACCTTTACGCTTCTCCGAACTGATAAACAGAATGGACAACGGCGCCGTAGACAATGCAGTTCGACCGCGAAATGTCTCGGCGGATCTCGCCGCACGTGCATCGATTTCGCTGATAGCTTGGATTCCATCGACGACGGATCGATCGAGGGCATTGTGCGGGTAACGGTCGCTCGCAGCTGCGTGTGAACACACGTGACAGCGCCGGTGGCCGAATAGCTAAATAAATGCGATGTACATACCTATTCATTACCCAACGCTCTTCTCATAAAGGGATTTCACGTGTGCGCTCTCGCAAACTCCCGATCCGTTCGGGACATGTGTGCTCTCCCTTCGGCACGTCCGTAAATAGGGTGTGGCCACGTGCGGCCGTTCAGCTGTGTCGCGGATGTACGCGGACGGGAAGCAGTAATCCAACACTCGCTGATACTCAGAAAGCTATGCTGAAACTACCACTGAAGTACTTTCTGTAAACAACCAAACATAAATTACAATAAACGAATCTTCATTTGAAGACACGATTAATGCGGCGATAGCTCAGACGCCTCTTCCACGTGTTAGGGTAGGGGAATAACCAGCCCGTTGTTGTCCGGGCGTTAATGAATTAAAACACTGTTAAAACAGAGCGCATATGGTGACAGATGGCCGGACGCGGGTGGGATGTATGTGTGCCTCTCAGTGCAATTAGTAAAATCAAATGCAAAAAAATAATAAAACCTATTTATATTGAAATAAATTAATCCGTTATAGATATTATTACCGGAAGTATTCAAAACAACTCATATTAATGTTAACAGCAGTTATACTAGAATTCTAACGAGACGTGCGCGCGCATCTGTGCAATGATTGGTGGTTGCACCCTCGTTTACTGATTACATGGGTTCACCTTCTGTTTCTATATCAAACGGAACCCCTCATTAATAAATTGATACACCCACTTCATTTGATAAAAGCTTTTCACAAATACTTACAGATGTTTTTCTTTTGTTACAGACACCTGAAAAACAGAACCAGCCTGACAGGCCGTCGTGCTAAGTGATGATTAGGTTAAGAGACGATTTAATTTATGGTAAAATGTAAGATATACCTCGAACGCGGTGTGTCGCGAAGGAGGCCAGCCGGAGCTCCCTGGGGGTGGGCAAGCCTCCGCTACAGTTCCAGTGAAGATCATCTCCGCGGATGATATCCTATGCACGATCTCGTTACGATCAGTAAAACTATACTTTAATATTGTTTTGTGGCATTATGCTGAAGACTTATGTGCATTGCAATGCAATCTACCATCGATGTCACTATGACGCCATGGACTGTTTTGTTATATTTTTAATGTAAATAGCTTTACTAGTTATTAGACCGAAGTAATCAGTTGATTTTTGTAAATAAGTATATTGAATACGTGAAAGAAAACAAAACTTGTTTCACAATATCTAACTATTAATAAAAAAAAATACGAGCAAAAACCTTATTCAACCTTCTATCCAGAATTTAATAAACTTTCCTTTATTACTGAAAACAATTTTGTAAAATTTCACTTTTAGAATCTTATATTGTAAAACTATGCTTCCAATTATATCAAAGAAGTGAATCAATTCTAAGTTGATTCACCTTTATAATTTTATTATCTTAAGTTATGATTTCATGAGTGTGATTTTGCATTGCGATTTTGTTTCTATTAGTTTATGAATATTTCGTAAGTCTAAAACGCAATCTTTTATTATTAATTTATATTGCGTTAGACACAGAACTATATCGTGTAAATATTTTATGTATTAAAAGATGATTATAAAAATTAGCAAAAAATTATCAATTTGAAAACTTTAATGATTTATTTTGAATATAAGGTGAAAATGCTTTAATTATCTTATATAATTCTTATTACTTATGGTGTATTATACTTTAAAATAGACTGTTATAGTTTTAGTTGAGGGATGCGTTGCTAATGTAGTTAAACAAATGTGTTGTCTGTATGTATGGTTTTTGCAAATTAAGAAATATATTTAGTAAGGAACTTAGTGATCTATAATTTGTTAAGAATTAGAATTCTTTCTGTATTGTTATTTAATTTGCAAGACTATAGATATATGATGATTAAAGCTCGGTCATTACCAACTATTTTGTATTTGTGTCACAAATTGTATCAATTTTAAGGCTACTACTTATTGAATTCACAATTTCTTTCGTCCGTATTTTAGTTTTAAAATCTGCACTGATTTTTTAAATAAGAACAGTCACTAAATCAGAAAATAAAAAAAAAATAATGACAGCAACATCAACTTTTATTTCACAATAACCTGACTTCGTCAAAATTTACCTTATAAACTCAATTATGAATAAACAGAAAAATAATATATTTACACATTCATTAAAAGTAATGTTCACGAAACATCTATTAAAAATTAGAAGAATTAACCAAATAAATTAAGAAAATTGAAATTAAATCTCGTATAACCAATTACAGCATTATCAGTCTATTGATTTTGCTATATAAGTACATTAATGTTACTCTTTTGTATACATAAAAAAAGAATGAATACACACTAATTTGAGAACTAAATTATTGACATGATAACGAAATGCATATTTCCATATTAACTATCACCTTGGCTGACGTAATACAATGTCATGAAAGACATTCATCCGTAAAATTTCATAACATGCCTTCGATTGATATGTGATTTATCTTAAATATTTTTAGAACCATGAGCAACCTTTGAACTTTTAACACATATTATCAACAGCAAATCAACACTGCTATTTTATGTTTGCGTCACTCACGTGCGTGGCCAATTATTCCAAGTTTAATATTTGATCAGCTGCGCGTACCTAAGTCTTCAACAAAACTTTCCTTACGAACTGAATGCAAACGTCGCATCTTAATAATACAGTTCAAAATGCCCAAATATAGTGGAGAATTGTTATTGTACGAGTTTATATTTTATGTCAACGTGTTAAAATTAAATATCGCTTAAGGCGTTTTGATTGCTAATTATATAAACGTTTGTGGTCTAACATTTGCCCAATAAAAATAGTTCTATTAAACCATACCTCTAAATAACAGGACATGACAATTATAGTTTTCAAAAAATAAAAACGTAATTAAGACGAACGCAAAGAGATTGATCCTGTCTAAATTCATAAGAGGAAGTAACCAAACATAGAAATAGGATACTCAAAAATTAAACACTGATATTACTTTATAAATTTTGATACGCTTCGAATAATCATGAGACTCTTAATGTGCACACTTATAGTACTCAGGCCTTCCTTTTGGATGGAATTAAAATCAAATCGAATGAAAAGAATGAGCTATGACCCACCAGCGGGTCCAGTGTAGATTGGTGGGTGTTAACGTCTGCATATGCAGCCAGAAATTGTGATAATATGATTCACTAAATATTAAAAAAAAAATATATTATTTACAAATAAATCATATTGACTGTTGTTACCACAAATAAATGAAAAAAAAATATATCGATATCAACTATCATTCTCCAATTTGCAATCAATGAATATACCTACTATCATTTTAAATTTATTTTCTACTTTGCTTAGTTATTATAAGTTAACACACAGTTAAGTGCGATAAGTACTACATTTACACAAATACAGGTGTGTGCACACTGTTCGGGGCCTCGTAGCAGGGTTGCCTATACATTTAACGTTTAGAACAAATACAATATATATCAGCGATTGTACAACATATATTGAAAGTAACGCATCTGATGAAGCAATAGCTAACATGAAGAGTCTGTGCTTATGAAATTTAAACAACTTTCTTAGAGGTTAGTCACGAGATGGGTGTCCAATAATTTATCACGATTTACTATTGATCGTGACTACACTTTGCAGTCGTTAATATCGATCAACAAAATCAATAATAACAATAAAAAAATCTGATATCTATACATAAGGATGACTCATTAAAAATAAAAACTCAAAGATAATCATTTGTGAAATCAATCGAAGTATTTTCAATCTACAAATTGGGATAATATAAAAATACAATACACCTACTTGACTAGTGATAGTGATAAAAATACTAACTTAATCCATACCGAAAATGTCAATGGAGGTGAAAAATAATCTGCATTACATAAATGGTAATCATAATTAGAAACTTTACGTTAAAATATCCATTATTTTTCTGAACTAACTAAATCATTCGAGTGCTTGTTTTATAGCATATTGTTATCACTTTCACACCATTCATACCACAGAAGACAAACTTTATGCGTTCTGTGTTCACCTCTAGAATTAAAATGTAACTTGGCTATAGTTTCACCAATTTTTTCTGATGCAACATACACTTAGATGTAACAAAAAATATATGATAACAACCCTACCTTTGGAGATACAAACATCGTCATGTGACCTTACCGCTTCCAATCGTTCACTCCAGCCTTTGTAACTTGAAATTATATTTACGTATTAGCTTTAACATCGGCATGAAATCTGTCGTACAAAATATTAGATAGTCACGGCAGTAAATTTCAGAAAACAGTATGCACAGTGACAAGTAATGCAAATAGTTTGTGAAATGCTAATTAACAAACAAGAAGTACAAATACATTTTCTAAAACTCTAAGTAAATATATCCAGTTTCGTCTTTCCACTTAAATTATTTATGAATATAGTTTCATCATCAGTTTATATCAGAGAAAGAAACAAAAGATATTTTGCATACATTCAAATTCGGAAAGGAGGAATATAGAAGTTCAATGTGTATGTATATTTTTATGTAAGTAGGTATGTTCATCTATTTCTTCTTGAACTTTGCTGTGAACTAATTGCTATCAAATTAGCCGTATCCCCGCGACTTCGCCTGCGTAAATTATAGCCTATGTTGCCCGCGTATTTTTTAAATAGGTCCAATTATTTCGAAGTTTATCCAATGCATACAAACAAGCAAGGTTCCGTTTTACCTTTAACGTACGAGACCCTAAAGGAATGAGCACAGGAAACTCTACAGCATTTAATATATAATAAGAAAATTTACAAAGTACACATATCTAATACTACTTATAAGAATATGCCACACAGCTTTCCACCAGCGGCTTCCCACGCATATCCCTAGGGAACCGTTCAATAGGAAAAAAAGACTGTATTTTAATTCAGGCTTATAATCCTATTCCTATTATCATACATATATAAACAAACATACATTTATACATACATCCATCATCGCACACTTTAACATCTGTAATATTAGTTGGATATACACGATCGTGTTAACAACTTATTGAATAAAGTAATTACACGTGTATGATATTTGTTTCGTTACTTTCAGCAAAGATAATGCTGACTGACGTATGTTTATTAAAAAGATTATCTTAAAATCAATGAATAAATTTATCAGAGCGTTATAACAGGTGTTCAGTCCAGTGCATAAGAACTTAAATTGCTGTGTCATTTGGTTAGATGCTCCAATAATAAAAAATAAGAGTTATAGTTTCTAATACATATTATTTTACCTGCAACTTCAGGGATGCTTAATTAGCTATTCTTCTAAAAAAACTTTTCAAAATAAAATCCATCTCATGTCCTTCCCAAGGTTGCATACTATTTTCATATCCTGTCTATACAGCAGACAGATTAACATAGGTTCTTCTGTATTTATAATACTTGTAAAGATATTGAAAACATTAACTTATATTAAAAAAAAAATCATACTCAATCTATGCACTAAAACATCTTATTTGTGCTTTCCCCGGTTGACAGGTAAAGAATATCTTCTATGCTATTTTCATATAAATTCATCGTCGAATACAACGCTGTCACAGCATTAGATGTTCAATACACTATAAAAGAACCTAACTATTATAATATGCTACAGATGCAAGACGATTGATGGTGTTATCCATTCAGACTTTCATCATCACACACAGTCCTTCCCTATGGATGGAATCATACAAGAGTGACCGGGCCATAATCCACAACCAAACGGGCCCAGTGGGGGCTGCAGACAGCCGAAACCAACGTCTTGACTCGCATTGCGAAAAATGGCAAATTAAGACCACTTACTTGGCATCGAGTGGTCTTAATGCGGCACCGTAATATGTTTAAAAGTCAAGAAATAGGAAAAATTAAAAACACGCTTATACATACACAGCCTTACTTTTGGTTTTAGGATTTGTTTTTAATGTTAGGAATTGTTTTTAAATTTCAAAGCATATTGCTAAGTTTTCTTAAGATTTAATCTGGCCCTGCTTATGTAGGACGGTACTGTAACGTCCGAGCACATTACTATAGGTAGGGTTTACTCTTCGGACGGTTTGTGGTCAAGTGCTGGCCGTTAATATTTTAAATTATTACTTTTTCTTATTCGAATTCGCGTGTTCGTGTTTTGCTGGTGAATAGTCTTTCTTTCTGATCGAGACCAGCTTAGAGTGAGCATCATAATATTTGGTTGTGATTAAATTGTAATACTACTTGAAAAATAAATCAAGACTGAGGAGTTCTACCAGTTTTTTTTTTCAATGCGCTTCCCACCTCCACCATTAGCCATAAGTTGCCATAAGTCGCCATAGTACCCAAAAATTTAATAGAATAGAATTTTTTTTAATAAAAAAAATTTTAATAAAAAAAATCATTTGGTTAATATTTTAAGTATACGATCACAAATAATGATACCGGTACTTTTTTTACCGATTTTAAAATCGAAAAGTAGGACCTTCTTTGTTCTAGTGTTAGTACATTTTTATGTATTCCGACTGCTGAACATATTTTATAAGAAAAATACATGTCATTATTGACTTCACTGACAAGAGAAATAAAATGATATTGCATAGTGCAAATTTTTATATACACGTTCCTGGGTCCGAACTCAAGAATTGACTTTACTAGTTTTTCCCTACGAATTAAATTTGATAAAAGCAACATAGATATTATATCAACCTAACAGTGTCAGTACATACAAACAGGAAGTACACTAACTTGCGTATATGTAATTTAATTAAGATAAGCTTATTAGACAAAAATGATACAGCTTATAAATGATAACAAGGTAATCGACCATTTATTTTACAATAAAAAATATGTTCAATTTTACCCGAGTACGTGTCGAAGGAAAAAGGATGGTGTATTCTAATCAGTGGCGTAACTATACAGTTTGAGGCCCGTGGCAAATTCATGGGATATTCAACTTTTTTACTAATTGTGTAATAATAAATGTCTCCTCTGACCGGGGGACCCTTCCAGCTGGAGACCCGTGGTATTTTGCCAACTAGCCACCCTGAAGTTA